TTCCAGAGAATGATCGGAGAGAGAAACAACGTTTTGAGCAACGAGAAAGATAAGCATCTGACATTTAAGGAAGCACAAGCTTTATGATCAGGAGATTAAAACATATTATGTGCATATAGGTTCTTTCCTTTGGCCTCAAATCATCTCTGGTGTGCAGCCAATCAAAGTCAGGCGTGTGATCCTGGAAGGGCAAAATGTTTCTGACTGCCAAATTGTGAGATGTTTGTCATTTTAGGTTTGGAACTTCATGTTTATGTATCCTCGGTTATAGACTTGGAGATGAGTTAAGTGATCTGTTCTGGCTGCTTTTCTACATCAACTCTCATGCAGCATCATTTCATGTGTTCTGCAGACTGCGAGGTCTGCCTCCTGTTGGACAGGCAGGTGACAAACACCGGCGGTTAGCTTGTGCTAGCGTGCGTTAGTTTGCAGTGTAGCTACAAGCAGTAAACGTACACACTACGACCTGCAGGGGGCGGAGCTTCTGGTAGCGATCAGCCCATCATAATAAGTTTGTGAAAAGCTTTATATGCGAATTTTCACACTTAAATGTAATAGAAATCAGGTTTATATTTTGGTTTCATGCTGGTGCTCAAGGGCGACATCTGCTGGATCAAAGAATCACATATAAAGCCTTTAACGAGTTCTGGTTGGGGTCAAATGCCCGAGCCGGATCCCTCCTTTTCTTCTTCTGTCGGCCATGTTTGAACTGACTGTTTTTGATGCAAAGAGTAAAAGTTTTGTGTTCTTTGTTGGATGGTTCGGTGTTGCTCAAAGGTGACACACGTTTTCTTCTTTTTCTTTTTTTCTGCATTTACTTGACAAGAGCATGAAAACCAGCCCCCACTCCCTTATCCCCCCCCCCGTCGGTTTTATGTTGAGCGCAGCGGGAGTTCCTCTTTGGTCCTCACAGAGTTCAGCTTGTTTGAATGTCCGGCAGCTCAGAGTTCAGAGTCAGAACGTCCCGGCTAACTTTGCCATCTTTGTGCCGAAGCTCTCGCTTTGAAAAAAAAAAAAAAAAAAGCATCTGACTATAACGAGTCTTTGTATCGCAGCCGCGGGTCCGGGTCGACTTTGAAGCCGCTTAATTTGAATACTCCAGGGGGGAGAAGGAGCACAGAGTATTTGATCTCCAAGGTAAAACAGGCAGCGCTGATGGGCCGGCGGTGGTGGAGTTGAAGGTTATTAGATCCAATGGGTGCGGATGAGGCCGAGCTGTCGCGGGCGGTTTGGACGCCGGCGCTCTGACGCCCTTGATGTCGGCGGGTGATGAGGGTGAGCTGGGATTGGAGCTGAAGCACGAGTCGACTTGGTTCAGATTGATTTTCGGCAATTAGAAAGCCTGCTGGATGTATGGACTCTGTGATTGACAGGTCATGTCTTGATGCTACGTGACCGGGGTTCGAGAAAAATGTGTGTGTGTGTGTGTGTGTGTGTGTGTGTGTGTGAGAGATCACACGATGAGCGTGTGTGATCAAAACGAGTTATTCTTAGTGAGAGGTTCTTGTAGATGAAGATTTGTACACACACACACACACACACACACACACACACACACACACACACACACTCTCCTTCTCTCTCTGGACTAACGAGCCCTTCGAACTGGATCAGCTGTCAGTCAAATCTAAAGAGAAAACGCTTCAATCATCCCTGAACATTTTCATCCTGTCCACAGTTTGACCAGGAGGAGAGACGAGATGATCACATTAAGACGATATGTGAATCTTTTTTTTCATGTTTATACTTTCATCGAACCTGGAGAGATGTGACTTTACCAAGTACAAACTCTTTTCTACTGAAGGCGACCTGCAAAGTCAGACATCTTTATTTGTCAGAGTCAGGATTGGTTTTAATGCCGAATTTGAAGGAATTTGCCTCGGGTGTTTCGGTTCAAGACAAACAGCAGAGGACAGTGCTGAGTTCATGTGAGCTTTTTAGATGAACCCGTTTTATACATTTAATCACAAATATCTGTGTTTTGTACCTCGTCATTGTCGAAACGAGGTACGTCAGTCCTCTTTAAAACTAGTTCCTCGTGCTTCAAATTAAACACAAGGGAACATTTGATAACCCCAAAACTTCACTTAAAGAAAGGGTTGGTCATTTCCTCCAGATCCACTTTTTCAGATTTTGGTTGAAATTGTCTTTAGGTCTGACAGAAATTAATAACTCATGTTCTCTGAAAAAGGAACAAAGAACATCTGTATCAGTTGTAAGCCTGTAAAAACTTCCACCAATGTCTGCCACGAGGTACCGATCTGATGGACCAATGTCTTTGCATCTGCTGCTGCTGCACCTGTCAGTGTTTCTCTGCAGTATTATCTTAAATTTAAACCGTTTAATGATGCGATGATGTACACGGGAAAATATCAAATGGATAAATTCTTGTTTGCTGAAAAAGGAAATTTAGGAGAACCGACTTTAACTGTAAAAAAAAAATCAGGTCAGCAGGACAGAAAATGTCGCTGATGCACACACACTTAGTGTCATAGTCCAGATACACACACACACACACACACACACACACACACACACACACACACACACACACACACACACACACACACACACACACCCACACACACACACACAGCCGCAGGGTCTCATTAGCTCCCAGCAGTTTGACTCGACTGAAGATTTTCTAACAAATGACTTCAGATAGAAATGACAGACTTGGTGTTAATTTAATCAGACGGGCCCTCTGTGTGTGTGTGTGTGTGGGTGTGGGTGTGGGTGTGGGTGGTGTAATTGTATGTGTGTGTGTGTGTGTGTGTGTGTGTGTGTGTGCGTGCGTGTATTAGCATATTAAAGCTGTTTGTGAATTATTGAAGCATCTGAAAGACACTGGTGACATTTTCACCGCTGTTTTCGGTCGACATGACGGCCCTTTGATGACGAAACTCAGTCTGTGTGTGTGTTTGTCCGTGTGTTGTGTGTGTGTGTGTGTGTGTGTGTGTGTGTGTGTGTGTGTGTGTGTGTGTGTGTGTGTGTGTGTGTGTGTGTCTCACATAGCAGCTGTATTTTGTTAACTAGGAATACATGAATGTGTCGAGTGGATTTTGTGATGATTTGAGTACATGTGCACGCCAGTTTTATCCACTTCCATTTTGTGTGTTTGCGTCCGTGTTCATGTTTGTTTGTTGCTGCGTTTCTGTGTGTGTGTGTGTGTGTGTGTGTGTGTGTGTGTGTGTGTGTGTGTGTGTGTGTGTGTGTGTGTGTGTGTGTGTGTGTGTGTGTGTGTGTGTGTGTGTGTGTGTGTGTGTGTGCATGCTCCTCTGCACCTCCTCTGCACCTTAAATCTCACACAAACTGACTCGGCATCCCACCTGTATCCAGAACACGACACCCCACACAGGTGACACTGTGTTCCTGAGCATGAAAACACCTACATAACCACATGCAGGCGGCGTGTTCCTGCAGCCCGTCTTACAGTAGTGACAGATGTATTTTGTAACCGGTGCTCAGCTCAGGTCACTCTGTTACCCAAGTTACAGTGAGCCGAGCTGGCAGCGTGTGTGACCTACATTCCAACATGCCGCGCGCTCTTTGAATGTGGGCCACAGCAGAGCGGGGCGGCGTGGAGCTGCACGGTGACTCAGCGCGCAGAGGAGGATGTAAAGTATCCGTCCAGCGCTTGGAGCCAGGGCGCCCGCTCTTTACAGATCGGTGTCTTCAGGCTGGACGAGTTCAGTTTATTTGCAGAGAAGTGAGAAGCTTCAACATGATGTTCATTATATATCAAATTCATTTTCTGACTTTTTAAAAATGTTCTCCTTTTACGGGGAAGAGGGCTAAAATAAGTTGTGCAAATGTGTCACGTGACCTTTTTTAATAAAGTTGTTTTCATGTAAAGATGAGGAGGGACATTTGGTGCCAGTTGTCTCCAACCCTCCTGAAAACTGTTAAGATAGAATTAAAGTAAGTCCTCATGATTTTATGTTCTATTTTTTTTTAAACACAAGATAAGTTTGGAGCTGGACTCATGAAGTGGCCACCATGTTCCTCTTAACTCTAATATGTGTCTCTAGTCTGTCTACAAACCCCCAATGATGAGAAAAGTCCATCCTCTCAGTCTTTAGCCTGCTCCACTTTTCAGAAAATGTGTGCTCAAACAGGCCGTGTGGAGATTTTCCCTTCATGACATCACAAAGGGCAGTAGCCCCTCCCCCAGGTGGGTGACACTCCCACAGCTAGGTGTTTGTTCTGCCCTCTGAGTCTGCCTTCTCACTGTGAACAATAGGACATGGAGCGAGAAAGCCAGAGACACCCAAGACCTTTCTGATAGGGGGCGTGGCCAGACACCGCTCATTTACATATTTAAAGATACAAACACAGAAACAGCCTGTTCTGAGCAGGGCTGAAACAGAGGGGTTTATAGGCATGATCAAATACAGGATCAGAGTGGATTTAGAACAAGAAACTTCACAGACATGTTTTGAGGAGCTCTGAGACTTATTTACACTGGTTGAAGAGGAGGAGAATATCTGACCTTTAAAGCGTGTGTGTGTGTGTGTGTGTGTGGAAACCTGTAAATGGCTTACATAAGAAATCACCCTGGATCAGCATATAAAGCCAAAATAAACTCCCTAAAAAGTGGGAGTAAGTTGAGCCGTAGATATTTTTGCTGTTTCCTGCTGGAGTCCGTCTGTCTGTCTGCATGTGTTTTTTTAATATGTCCTTAATTTAGTTCAGTAACATCCGTCTGTAATGAGCGTGTTCTGGAGACAGAGTTGATCCCCGGCTGACAGACGGGACGTGTCCTCCATGTTTTCACACATGAAGCTGACTCACATTTAAAACTGGACATGTGACGTCACAGGGCTTCAGCACTTCTGCTTTTCCTGCAGCACAGAGGCAGTTTGACACTTGCTCTTCTGTGTGTGTGTGTGTACACGTACTGTACTTCTCTATCCCCAAACATTTCTCCGTGGGGTTTGTTTCTTTTAAATGTTAGCTAACCTTAGTGTGTGTGTGTGTGTGTGTGTGTATGACTGCAGGACATCTGTGAGGACATCTCGGACCATGTGGAGCAGATTCACGCCCTGCTGGAGACCGAGTTCTCTCTGAAGCTTCTGTCCTACTCCGTCAACATCATCGTCGACATCAGGTGAGTCCTCACGAGACACCTCCACACATCCCTTCAGTTTGGTGCCTTTTATTTCAACCCTTCAACCCATGTAGACGAGTGAATCTCTGACCAAACTACAAACAGTCTCAAGGTGTGTTACCATAAAGAAATGAAAACAAGTAGGACCTTTAGTTCATGCCAGTACAGTTCTGAACAGGTCGGATAGCTTGCATGTTAGGAAATAATTTGATATCTTAACTTGATATTGAATCCCTCATGCTGTGATGGTTTTTTGTGTTTTTGTGTTCAGGACGGTGCAGCTGCTGTGGCACCAGCTCAGAGTCTCAGTTCTGGTCCTGAAGGAGCGTCTGCTGCAGGGCCTGCAGGACTCCAACGGGAACTTCACCCGGCAGACCGACATCCTGCAGGCCTTCAGCCAGGACCAGCAGCAGGTAGAACACACACACACACCTAAACACACATCAAATCTTTAAAAGCTCAGCAGGTCTTAACTCGATGGTTGTTTCCTGCAGACCCGTCTGGACGCTCTGACCGAGGTGGACGACTGCGGTCAGCTGACCATCCGCTGCAGTCAGGACTACTTCTCTTTAGACTGCGGCATCACCGCCTTCGAGCTGAGCGACTACAGCCCGGGAGACGAGCCCGACGCCCCCAAAGCCGAAGACCCCTCTCAGGATCAAACCAAACACAACGATCCTGAAGCGGGGCCGCAGGAGAGTGAGGGATCCTCAAACCAGGAAAACAAAAACACTTTACCTGATCTCACCCTGCCCGCTGACTCAAACAACCGCAACCTTGCTCCAGAAATATTACCCACAATGCAATGCAGCATGCCCAATCCCAGTGAGAGTGCAAAGCGCCCCCTGCAGGGTGGGAGCCGCAGCACTGAGGTGTCGCCCACACAGCCGTCTCTTCCAAAGAGGGCCGCTCTCTTCTCGGCCGGAGGACGCATGGAAGAGGACCAGAGGAGTCCGGGCTCAGGGCTGCAGGTCCAGGCCGAGCTGAGTCGGAGCTCCCCCTCTCTCATGGACCCTCCGGACAGGTCCAAGTTCTGGTTGGAGCTGGACTCGGTCTACCCGGAAAATGTTTCACAGTCCTACGAGAGTCTGCAGGTTGGTCCAACATTTTTATTTCTTTTACGCTTAGGTTTGAGTCTGCTCTTTAGGACAGCTCGATGAAACTCACACAGATGAACTGACACAGAAGGTAACACACAACAATCACTAAATAAACCAGGAGTGATTGGACACAGGTGTGACAAACAAGACACAGGAAGTAAAAAAAAAGACAAGAAACAGTCGGGACAAGAACTACAAAATAAAACTAAAAAATTACAGACTGACAAAAAAGTATATGGACAAAAGTTTAAACAAGAGATGACAGAAAAGACAATAATTACAAAATAAGACAGGAAATGCAAAAGGCAAGATACCATTTCTGTTCTCTGTTTCTGTATTTTTAGCTGCTCTGTATGGAGCACTTTGGGCTGAACCTTTTTATGAAAGCTGATAAATAAACAGGGCCGCGGGAAGTAGGGGTGCTGAGGGTGCTGGAGCCCAATAATGATTTATTAGGGGGTGAAAAATAGACAAATAACTTTTTTTAAAACAAAACAATAAATTTAATTGATTTATTCGTCTATTCATTAAAATTCATTGGAAACATGAATGACGTAACTGTGAACAGTTAGTCAGTGCTTCATTTGTAAACTTTGAGGTGCACAGAGAGAATGCTGTTCCTCCGCGGCAGGAGGAGACAAAAAAAAGCCACGCAATACATCAAAAGTACTCACAGCTCTGGACCTTTCACAATAATGGCTCAAAATCAACTGGAGAGAAGTGCGTAGAATCACGACATGCGTCTGTCTTCGTCTCGCTCTCTTTGAGTTTAATTTTGGTTGTTTTCAGTTGAGAAATGTAATTCTATATGATAAGGTCATTCTATGTGCTGCGCCAATTCATAATCAATAAATTAATTTGTTTACTCTGGATTATAAACACTTAAACCTGTGATTAATACTTAGTATTAGCAGCAGCTTCTATCGATTTCAGAACATTTTACACTTCTATAGACAACAAACTCACAGCCAAAGTTCACTCTGACGTGTCCAATGACCAGTTCATAGTTTATAATTATTAGAGCAGTGAGTGTGACGAGAGGACACACGGATATCAGTGCACACTTATTGCACGTTGGAGCTGTCTGGACACCATCAGTCTGTTAACAGAGACTATAGTTAGCAGGGTAGATCCCACTATTCCGTGCTAAACTGATTTACATTAGAACTGATGATTGATTGAAGTTTCTGTTCCCTCTCCACCTCTGTGCGTAATGACACACTCTCGCTTATCTGTATTAGTTCACTCCCTTTCAGAGGTTGTTCTGCAGTTATTCAATTAATAATCAACTAGAATTCAGAAATCTAGGATAGCATCTAGTAGCTGCTCTGTTTGACAGGATGATCAAATGTCTTTGGTTTCTCTGATTATGTTGAAAACCTGTCAGCGACACTTCAGCGTGTGCGCAACGATAGTTTATCTTCCGGTGTTGACCCAAACATTTCAATCCCAGATGTGGTAAGATGAGCTACCAAGTTCTGTTGAGTGAGAAAAGCGAGTGTCAGTGCCATGTAGAGCCCCCTTCCCCGCCCCCTGTCCGTTGACGCGAGCGACAGAGACGAAAATAGACTTTAGATTTTATTGTCCCCATGGGGAAATTATTGTTCAAGCGGAGGAGGAGGAAGCGGACTTGGAGCCGAGTAATCTATATATCTTCTACTTATTTATCAATGTTTTACGTAAGCTATAGGCTATGCACAGTCAACGTCAATCCTGGCTAAACACTAAAAATTAAGAATTTCACAGGCTTTGATAACTGTTGGAAATATTTGAGGTGATGTAAGTACTCTTCAAAATGTCTAAACATGCAACACGCTGCCATTTCTTTCTTTAATGTATGGTTGCATCTGTAAAAGTCAGAAACCAGAAAAGCGTCACCGTCTCTTTGAACCTTAATTCTCTTCTCTTACCTGTCAGGTCATGGGCGGACGTCACCTCCACAGAAAGCACGCCGGCTCCAAACAGGGAGGATGCCCACAGGGGAGAGCGCACAGACCGCTGACCGACCTGAGGAGCTCATCCCGGGCCAGGCCGACCTCCATCGCCCCCCCGCCTCTCCAAGAGCCGGCGTCTGGGGATGAAATATCAACACAAATGGAGAGGACGCAGAAGGAGACACACGCGCACAGTGAGGGGGACTCTGACTCCTCGTTACCCTCCCCCATGAGGGAGCACTTCCTCTCCTCAGACATGGAGGCGTCCGGAGAGGAGTCGGACCCCCGGCCGTGTCCCCGCAAGACGGCGGTCTGGATCGTGAAGCGCCAGGGGCAGAAGGTGAGGGTTGTTGCGGTATGTCGAGGAGGGAAGTTTGGAGAGTTGAGGGTTGGTTTAAAAACTAAATCAGAGCTCCTGTGAGGAACTCTGATTTTGTTTTGGTCTTGGGGAGCCTGTGGACGAAGCGGTAGTATTCTCAAAAAAAAATAAAAAAATTTGAATTTAATATTTTTTTAAATGAGTTAGCGGCCTCTTGTATCCCTCAATGCAAAGGATCTATACCAAACCTCTGGACGTGCACAGAGGACATAACTGGTGTACAGCTCAACAAAAACTAGATGAGCTAAACTCACTCTCATATTCTCCCTCATCCTTTTGCAATCAGCTCAAAATAACAAGTTTTTTTGAGTGGGTAAGGACATGCATGAAAGGAACCACAGGTCGGACTTGAACCCGGGCCACCTGCTTGGAGGACTATAGCCTCTGTAAATGGGGTGCGACCTAACTATTAGGCTATCAGCGCCTTAAAATAAAGTTGAAGACATCAGGAAGATGAGCACAGAAGGGGAAAAGAGGCTCTAAGTCTGCTGAAGTCACATCAGCATCATTTTTGATTCAACAAATTAACAAGATTTTAGTCTTTCGATGTCTCTGATGGACAAGCTGAGCTAAAGTTTGCTCCGGCTCGGCTAGCAGCCCCTGAAGAGCGATGAAGAGACCCTGATTCTGATCATCAACCCTCTTTATTCAGGGCTTTAGAGTTGTTTTTATTACCAGGTCTGTTTATTCCGGAGAGGACGAGATTCTGTGGTTGATTTGCTGAACGCTGAAGAGTCATCGTGAGACTTGTTTGGTTTTCTTTACAGCTTACATCTGTCGCTCCTCTGTGGACAATGATGCAGCTCAGAATAAACAAAGTGCAGAGATTCAGCTGACTAAATGAGAATCCTCTGTTTGTATTCTTGAGATTTATGGGACATAATTGATGAAAATGTTTCATATTCATCAAATCCAGCATGCTCAAAAATTCCAAACTTTATAAATAATATGAAATGGAAGCAGTGCAAACATAGAACATATTCACTGTCCTGTTTTGCCAACACTCATCATGACTTTTTATGTGACTTCATCCGTTCTAAGAGCATCGTATGAATACAGTTTTCCCTCCTCTACTATCCTCCATCAGGCGGCCCAGGTGTCATCTAAAGACAGCCCAGACAGAGAGCACTGGTACGGGTCAGAAGAGTTCCTGGCGCTCCCCGCTCAGCTCAGGAAAACGGAGATGCTCGCTATGAAACTGGAAAGTCTGACTCAGTCCATCCCGCTGGTGAGTCGAGACTGAAGTTCCTCTTTATGCACCATTATCACACATGAATCACACAACAAGGAGGCAAGAGCATGACGTGATGTTTTTGTTGACTCTCGTCCTGCAGAGGCCTGTTAGCTGTGACTCTACCCAGGAGGCTTTGCAGGATGTGGATGACTGGGATCTGACGGAGCTCAACCAAGACTGGGATGTAGGGGAGAGCGAGGACAACAGGAACAGCGGAGGGGAGAGCGGGGACAGCATTCCCCTTCATCTTCCACCTCTGGTATCTAACAGTTACACCTTTATGTTACATTTTCACGTTTTTTTTTTTCTTCTTCTTATGTTGGAGATCATTTCTTGATGTACGTTCTTCTGTTCGCCTCCCTTCAGCTTCCGTACAGACGTAACCTGGTCAGCCGCTTTAGCCCCACCTCCTCCAGCGATATCGCGCCCTCATTGGATGAAAGCATCGAGTCCGGTCTGTTAAGTGACCTGCAATCTGAAGAGGAGGAGGGACGAAGGTCTGCAGACGGCTGCCCGCAGCTGACAGCGCCCCCGGTGGACGTGCGTGAAGGAGTGTCCCTGGTGCACCAGCTGCTGGTGGACATTCAGCGCCAAGACAGAGACCCTGATGTCTGGAGGAAGATTGAGGTATGAGGTCTTCTCTTCTTTGTCTCTACTTCTAAACTTCTAATCTTTCTCTCTGTCATATTTTTATTTTGGTATAAAATTTCGCAAAGAGGTATCGTTAGGGTCTGGGCGTGTTCTTTTTCCTGAAGTTTAATTTGACTTCATCAAAGGGTAATCATTTCTTCTTTAAGATACAAAGTCGTGGTGTGCATCAGATAAGTAGGGGGTCTCCTGAGGCAAGACATGACGTAAAGAGAACGACGGTTTGGCAATTCGAAGGAGAGCAGACGATGTCAAGGGCAAAAGAGGCCATTGTGTAACCATGGAAACCATCAACAGTCATCTAAGGACAATTTAGTTTCAATTAATGTCCTTAAATGGATATGCAAGTGCAGCTAGCTGTCCACTTTTATGTTATTCTTTTTTGAAACTTATTCTTCATCTTGCTTCATTTGTTGCCCGTCAGATCCATAACCATGGCGACAGGTAAAGTCTTGGTCGTGCTGTCTGAACCTGAAGCCACACAAAGTTGGCGGTGTGATGATGATAGAGGATGAGTTCTGACATTGAAGCTACACTCATAAACCCAAAATGATCTCATGGACAAACTTGTAGATTAAATAGTGAACTCTCCTGTAGCTTTGGGTGCAAACACATCCGGAGAGTCGAGGTTTACTGACGTGTTTGAACGGAAAAAAGTTGACTTTGGTTTATTTGGTGCAGAGGTCACACCAACCCAAAGAGGTTTTGCTGTGACGTGTGGACATCAGAAGGTGCTTTATATCACCTGAATCTTCTGTACCTGCTCACCTGATGGAGCATTTATCTGCAGAAGAGCCACAGGACGAATCCTTGAATTATAATTCTGACCACAGAACGACAAGTGGACCCAAAAATCCCCCTAAACGCCAGGCTTTCCCCTGCTTCACTGCAGCCGTCTTGATGGATTGGAGGGCTGGTATCGGATCGTCCTGTGGCCCCGTTAATTCATCACCTCTCTGCTAAAGGTCACGTTTGATTGGCAGGCAGATTATTGATGAGGCTGCCCGGTGAACTAATCAGTCATATCTGTCATATTGAATATGGCAAAATGTCAATAGCTCTGGGGATCCGTTCTCCTCGCGGCTGCTCGTTTAATTAGCGCTATAAAGAAGCTGTTCTGCCTTCTCCAACATCTTTTATTGTTTTATTTTACTCAGGTTTATTTCACTCTCCCTGCTTTTACAGCCTTTATATTCTAATTCTCAACACCTTCTAGTCCCCGAGCAATGTCTTACTTTGCAGCTGAAGCGTCTCCGTCCCCCCCTGAGGGGTCAATGGAGTTCAGCGTATTGGTCTTATCTGGTGTTAGCCGGGTCAGGAGCCCGCATACAGAATCCGAGCGCTGTAATAGGATTATCTGTGAGGATGGTCGGGAAACGCAACGATCAATCTGTGAATTAAAGGCTCGGGGGGGGGGGGCGTCCTTGGACCGAGGGATCAGTGACCCGGAAGGTCGTGAGTTTGATCCCCTCATCAAACTCCTTCATATGAAATCAGATGGTCTGCATTAATATTCACAGTTAATGATGATTTGACTGATGAAATGTCAGAGCTGTCCCCCTGCTCCGTCTTCCTCTCCGCGCTTACGTGTGGAGGAAATGTTTTGATCCGTGTTTTTAAGGTGTCCAGACAAACACGAGTCCATGACGGGAATCTAAACACTCTGCTACTCTAAAGATGGGCGGGTGATACAGAAGTTATGAAACTTGTTTAACCTGAGTGAACCACTACTGCTTGAATACAACAAGTCGGAGCCAGAGACTTTAAATATGAACGTTTGATGCCTGAGTGACGTCACCCGTCTGTTCCTGCAGGGGGCACTGGAGTCCCATCGATGGCGGTCTCCATGCTGGAAATGCTGCCTCAGCCTAACTTTCAGTCAACCTAACAACAGGCTGAGAGCTGGAGCTGAGGCGGGTTTAAGCCTCCTGACAAACCGTTACACTGTGCCCGCCTGTCAATTATATCATCTATGCGCCTAACTATGGATAACACGTATCGTTCATAAAATCAAAACGGCGCAGTTTAAAAATAAATTCACCACCAGTACAGAGTGTGCCAGTGATGACAATAACTAATCAGACCTATTTGTTTTTTTGAACCAGGCTGTAAACATGTTAATCTCTGCTGTAAAAACAGGCTTTTTTAGAATGGGTGTGTATGTGACTTCCTGTGCGTCTGCATCCAGCACCTAGTGAACAGTCGAGGAACTGCAGGATTTTACACTTCAGCATTGGCTTCATTTTTTAAGCTGGAAGTTGCCGCTTGGTCTGAGTTTGTTTGAAATATGAAAGACAAAATGTTGCAACTACTATACTCAAAGTATATGATGATTACGTTTCTGTTTTGGTCGCATTGAGAGGCTCAGAATCGGCTGACAACGTTACAAGAAAGATCACGGCAGACTAAACCGTTTTGTTAGAGAGTAAGATTCTTCAGACACAGCTGTTATAAAACTCTAAGACATAAAGAAAACAGTGTTCAGGAACAGCTCTGGGTACCAGCCATCACTTACAAATGAGTTTCCCTTGCAATCGCTGGGTCTCTGATTAGTCGGATGCTAGGAGACATTTTTGCCCCCCCGCCCTCGTGGCACGCCCCGAACCTCTCAGACACAATAAGTATGTATAATCCCCGGCACGTTCAGGGCCGCGTGCAGCTCCCTCTGAATCATTCAGACCCCCCTGCGGCACTCACTGTTTCTGTCTGTGGTCATGAAAAAAAATATTCATGTGAGCCAGCAACGTGTGGAATCCAGAGTTTGAGTTTGATATGTGTGGATGCACGTTTAAAATGTTTAGAATCGGAGCCACTCAGACTCTCAGATATTATTTTGAATTTATATTTAACACCAAAATATTACAAACAAAAGGACTAACATTCATAAAGTAGCATTAACAGAGAGTTAAAACATTCCCTAAAAGTAAAAAACAATCTCCCTGAAATACAAAACAAAACCTCCAAAAACATGAATGTATGCTCTGCTGTGTCACACATGACACCTCGAGTTAACACACACACACACACACACACACACACACACACACACACACACACTCGTCAATCCTCTCTGCTCCCGGCTAATTAGCTGATTAGCTGCTTAATTAGCAGCATGTAATCATGGCGATGGATGAGCCGCCTAATTGAGGAAGTGAAGAGAGGAGCAGCAGAGTCTCTGCGAGGAGGATGACATTCTGTCTCTGCGCGTCGAGTCTCGTCTGAATACGACCACGAATAAAACGGAGAAGACAAATCATCTGTCCGGGGAGGACAAAGCGGGTAAAGATCAGCGCTGGAGCAGAAGTGAACCCACTCCAGGAGCAGAGTGGAAATGAATCCGTCCAGGAGGTCTGAAGTCGGATGTGTTGGTTGTCGGAGGAGCGGAGATTTGATTACAGTTGGAATAAAAAAGGTGGAAAGAACGGTAGAATCAAATATTGAAGCTTGAGGGAGAAGATATCACTTCCATGTCGGCTGTCAGTAGCACAGCTCAGGGTCTTTTTTATTCTCCGATGTCGAAGTTCACCTTTAAATCTCTTCTTTTTTTTTTCCAGAGCAAAATAATCAGAAAGAAGCCAGACTGTGACTTGATTTAGCTGTTAGCTCAGTGAAAGTCATATTTCACCATGGGGGAATGAAGGATCTTAGGTAATGTTGTCCCCGCTCTCCCCTCAGCTGTTCCCGTTGTCCCCGCTCTCCCCTCAGCTGTTCCCGTTGTCCCCGCTCTCCCCTCAGCTGTTGTCCCGTTGTCCCGCTCTCCCCTCAGCTGTTCCCGTTGTCCTCGCTCTCCCCTAAATCCCAGTCTCAGTTGACCTCTGTCAGATCCCAGTCATCCACATCCTGCAAAGCCTCCTGGGTAGAGTCACAGCTAACACGCCTCTGCAGGAACCACAGACTGTATGAGAAATGGACGTAGCAACTGTGACGTTGCCCATTATTGTGAGGCTAAAGATCATTCTGGATGTCGCCATCTTGGTTTAATGGAGACAGAAGTGACCATATTTGGAGTAGGGGGTGGAGCTGGAGAGGAGCAAGTACTAAGTTATCAAAGTTATATAATGTTAGCTCAAGGCTAATTCATTAGCTGGCTAATTTGATAGCTTTTCCTACGGAATGAGGTTCTACATTTGTTTTTTGCTGATAAAGTTGATATTTATTTGACTAAAAGCTAATAGAGTGGATGGAATAAAGCAAAACATCTGCTGGAAATGAACCAAATCCCTCAGTGAAAACTCCTGCCAGCTTGGCAAGCACAGTCCACTTATGGTTCCCCCCGAGTTTTCCCGGTGGACATACCTCCTTCGCTAGCGAGATAAAAATGGCGGACCTGCGCAAAAGTTTTGTTCTAGACTGGGAGGAGTCCATAGGTGGAAATACCAGGGGAGGTGAGGGGATTTTTTTTTTTTTACCAGAATCCCACTGTGATGTCACAAGGAGAGCACATTTGAAACAGAGCATTTTTCTCTGTGTTGTAAGACTTATGCAGACCACAAACAAAGGACTGGATGGGTTTATTTCACATTTTGTGAGTCAGTAGACACTCAGGTTACCCAAATATATGTTCAAAAACACTGTAGAAGTGGATTTTTTAAAATATGTCCCCTTTAAAATGTAAAACGCTTGGCAAATTGTCATTTCATTTTATGCCCTAACTTTCTATCTACCAGAAGGGCCTCACTTTATTTCAAAATAAAAGTACTCTCAGTTTAAGACATAATTCGAAATAGAAGCCTAACTATTTTCATTTTTAAATGTAAAATGATGGAATTTCAAAATTTAATTCAACATTGATTTACAGTCTAAGTAAAAGTCTGCATCACTTTTGTTTTTGTACAGATTGCACTTTTAAAAGTTCCTTAAAGTGTCTAAACTTTAGCACGACATTGACTTTGATGATGTGGACTTGTAACCTGCTCAGTTTGTCGGGATGCCAGAGTGTTTGTTGGTTAGTTTAGGTGACAATCCTTTGTCTCTGCAAT